GGAGAGAAAATGCAAGCACCTCCAGTCCCTGAAGCTACCGGTACTTCAGATGATTTAGTGCCGAGACGTGGGTCCTATGGGCTTCAGCGTTCAGAGCGCTAAGCGCCCTCAGCGGTAAAAAGATGTCAGCGGAGACGGTTTTTTTTCTAGCGCAGCGCTCAGAGTGCCTCAAGTTGAAATCTGTTCAACTTTTAACGCCGCTTGGAAAATGAGTTTTTGAGCTCTCTCAGCGCTGTAAACGCGTTTGGTGGACACAAGTCCAGCTCAGACAATTCTAATCACATTTTAAAGGATATCGACTGATTATCGTTATCGCCAAAATCCCCAAAAATATTGAGATATTATTTTTTGCCCATATCGCCCACCCCTGCACAATCTAATGCAATGCAGTACTATCTCTTCAGTATTAATGTTCATGTTAGAAACACACCATTAATTAAAACAAATGCTTATTGCAAATTAATTGACTCTATATCTTTCTTTATGTGAATGTTGCTGTCCTTCTCTCTCTATGTGTGTGTCTTTGTCTAACTCCCACTGTCTCAAAGACAATCAGCATGTCCACATAGTCTTGTTACATAACCAGCCAACAGTCCAATGATATCCTCACCAGATCATTGCCAACATACCACTCTGTCACTGTTTGCGTTTGTGTTTCTTTTCATGTGAAACAACTGTAGATAATGCCTGTATGCGTGTTTTAGGTTGACTGACTTTTGGATGTGTTCACGTCTTTGTGCCTTATGTGTGGCAGCCTTTGGCAGGACGGTCCTGTGGTCCCGCCCCTCTCCGTCCACTCTGTTAGCGGTCTTTATCTTCCCAACAATCAGGCTTTATCCCCGGACACTCCTGGTCCCACGGTAGCCCTGGGAGCAGCAGCCCGGCGCTCCTATCCAAACCAAACCAGACATATTTCCTGACATATGTTCACTTGTGTAACCCACTCAACCCCAACACACACAAACATGCCCACACAGACAGTGGAGAGATTGTGGAGCCAAATAACACAACAGTCAGTCAACATCTCAAGTTAAATGTGAGCAGATTATGTTTGATATTTTCTTTTTGCTTAAATTTCACAGTTTGGAAATAAAAGATAAGATAAAATGCTAAAAGGTTAGCAAGCATGATTCTGTAACTTTGGTCTAAAAATGTGGAGGCAAAAACATTTTCAGATGTTTTGTTTTGTTGCCATTTTCTTGTTAATATGTTTCACATTGCTGATTTAAGTTATACAAAACACAACTTTACAGTTTGTACATTTTATTTTCAAAGACAATACTAGTGCTAAGCTACAGGGATATCACAATATCGGCAAGAAAAAAAGCACAGCAACCATGAGAAAATGAATAAGACATTTCCGTATAAAAAAAGAACGTAATCAAAAAAGACATCCTTTATCTGCGACTGAATACAATGCGAATGAACAACCACACCAGAGTACAAAAGCTGCACTGTGTTAGCATCAGTATCAGAAGTTGCAGAACATGATGTGGTGTTTGATCACAAGAAGCCTTTGGCACTGCGAGATGCTGTGCACAGAGAGGAAAACTGAGAGCATTGATTTCATTGTAGAAGAGCAAGGAGTGTGTGCTATTTGGCAAATGTGTGTGCGTGAACGGTCTGGAACATAAAACTATAGAGGCCCATTCAGACCTTCCTTTCTCTCTCCTTCCATCAGGAGATAGCAGGGACATTGAACTGCGGCAACAAAAGCAGATTTCCATCAGACAGAGTTTCTGAGAGAGAATGGCATTGTGTTGAAAGGGGCTTAATGGAAGCTCAGCTTAGAGCTTTATTCACACAAACTGTACTCCCGGGTCAGGAGAAACACATACTGTATGTGTTCACACACACAAACACACACACACACACACACACACACACATTTCACATATGCCAAACAGTCCTTGTTCCTTCTACACTAAAATTGGTGCTCTTATTTTTGTTTTATAAATGATAGAGGAGAGTTTGCCAGTCATGATGTTGTGGAGCAAGGCACTTAAAGCACATTACACTGATCTCACACTGAAATCGTGTGTGGCAGGGTTTGTTTGTAAAAAAAAAAAAAAAAAAAAAAAGGAATTCAGATGCGGTCAGTGCCTGGGTGAAGAAGTCTCTCACCCCTGATGGACTAAACTGAATCAACTCCTTGATGCCAAGCACAAATAGAAAATAATGAACAAAACTTTGTCACTTTTGAGGGCACATTCTTCAGTGTGCAAATATAATATATCTTGTAATATTGTTTTATTTCTGCTCAGGGTCACGTATTATGCTCTTAACACGGAGAACTCCAAAATACCAAAAGGTTGAATCAACACCTCTTTGATACATAACTCTGTCCTCAATCATCAAAATTGCACTCCAAATTTGACTCAAGTTTGTTTTTCTGCCATTGCTAGAGTTAAGGCTTAACTTAGGTAAAACTACTAGGCTAGGCAAAGTTGAAGTTTTGTGGTTGACCACTCGGAGGCAAACCACAGTCTCAAGTATCAAAGTTTTCAAATCAGTCCACCGCAACCTCTTCTCTAACCCGGAAATTTCATCTGGCACGACATATAAATAAATGTATAATAGTTAAATTGAAATGAGGAGTTTAAACATGGCCAAAGACATTGTTAATTGCGTTTCTTTTGCCAGGTACTCATTGTCTACCAATGCATTTGGCCAGTTGCAAATATAAGAGATATAAACACTGATCCCCCAAATAGAATACACCTACATGTAGGTGTTAACAGTTTTGTCTCACATGTTTTTCACCCTTATAACACACCCATCATATCTCACAGTAAATCTGTACCTTGCCTTCCCTGTCTAAAAACCTCTTTTTCTCTCTTCCTCAGATCAGACTTGTCCTCTTCTGTATTACATGTAAACTAGGGATGAGCGAGCAGGCCTCCCATGGATTAACCGCTGACTGACTCCAAAAGTTGCAGTCAGTCTTCCTTATTATTAGATGTGTAAAACCATCATACCACATAAACGCCCAAGTCCCAAGGTTTTTCCAAACTAAGTGTCTACGAGCAGTAATGTAGTGTTGTCCCCAAATCACATCGCCCAATATTTTCCCGGAAAAGACTACACAACGGCTGCTCCCAAATCTGATTGGTGTTATTTGTAAGTCAGCCTAAATCTCAGAGAAGCTACACACACAAATGGAACAGGGCTTACTAATCCATTTGTAAGGCAATAGGCAGGCAAACAGGCAGGGGAGAGCTTGCCAAGTGTTGTAATCACAACTAAAGATGATGAGCCCACTCCCTTCCTCTACACTCAACAGTACTGTGTGTGTCTGTGTGTGTGTGTGTGTGTGTGTGTGTGTGTGTGTGTGTGTGTGTGTGTGTGTGTGTGTGTGTCTGTGTCTGTGTGTGTGTGCGCCTGCGTGTGCCTGTCTGTCTGTCTGTCTGTCTGTCTGTCTGTCTGTCTGTCTGTCTGTCTGTCTGTCTGTCGTCTGTCTGTGTGTGTGTGTGTGTGTGTGTGTGTGTGTGTGTGTGTGTGTGTGTGTGTGTGTGTTGCATGTTTGTCCTACATCGCCTCCTTTACAAAACTGTGACAAGTGAGAGAGAAAATGAATCGGTATCAAGTGGATAATCTACAAAAGTACACTAGGAGCTTTTCCACCTTATGCAAGTCCCCCGCTCATTCACTGGCAGATACCACGCAATCTCTCTGAGAACAACAACAAGCCGGCGATATGAGTTTTGAAAAGGCAGTAATTGTAAGCAGGTTGGGGAATAAATTAGAATGATGACAAAATACAGAGATAAATCCAGCTTAAGAGAGATGTACGCCACTGTTTATTTGATTTCAGCTTTTCTCTCTATCCTGCTCTTTCTCCCTCCCTCATTCCTGATCTTTTTTAGTGGGGTGGAAAAATGGATTTTTGTCAGCGATTTGGCCCTGAAATAGCTTATTGTCTAAGGCAGCCACTGTGCGGGTACAACGTCAACATCACATGTGTGTGCGAACGCGCTCGCCTGTTTCCATGGGGAGTAATGGCCGTGGAAGTGTGTATTGGCTCTGCTGGCACAATACGCCACTGTGCTCATTGGTTTAGACTGGTGTGTGTGTTTACAGTGTGTGTGTGTTTGTGTGTGTGTGTGTGTGTGTGTGTGTGTGTGTGTGTGTGTGTGTGTGTGTGTGTGTGTGTGTGTGTGTGTGTGTGTATGTGTATGTACTTCTATAGTCTCTCTTGTTGATATTTATAGATGGAAGAATTCTGGTATGAAGGGGGTGATGGTAGGAGGAATGTAGGGAGCAAGAGGGGGTGGGCATGGGAAAGGAAAAAGGAGGAGGAATGAAGGGATGAAGAGAGGAAAAGGAGGAGAGGATCTGTGAGCTAGAATGAGTAAATCTGCCCTCAGCTTTTTCATTCTTTCGCTCTCACTTTTTGTGTCTTTATTTGCCTGATTATCTCCTTTCACTTTACTCTTTCTCGCTTGCCTCACAATTTCATGCACAGAAGCATTTGCACACTCACAACAACCAGTTAGATATCCACGCAAATGCAGATACTACAATTACATTTGTAATTAGGGAGCTACTTTTTAGACTAGATGGAAAAAAAAAAAAAAAACTTTTAGTCAGGAAGATTTGTAAAGCCTTTTGTTTAGTGAGTGACTTAGAGCTGTCAGTGTGGCTGTAATGTACTTGGCCAAGACACTGATCTACTACCTGCCCAACTAATGTTACAGTAACAAAATGCTTAAAAGTGCCTGAAGATCAGAATGACTTCCTAATAAATAAACATGTATCTTTACATACATATACAGCATAAAATGTTTAAGATAAATGGATTAAGAAAAAACTTTACTAAATTGTAATTTGTTTTAAAGCTGCCTTACAATTTCTCTATTTCTTTCTTTGACTCTCTAACTTTTTTATACCTATCTTAGACTTAACCCCTTTCTAACCCTGCAGTAATGCACATATGAGCATTTCGATGACATAAATATTGTATAATTAATTAGCTGTCTTTTGTTCTTCTTTGTGTCCAGGGGACTCAGTGGACAGAGGAGCTGATTGCTTCTGGACTTTTTACTCTTCAGGTTGTTCCATCAAGTAACTGGTAAGAGCTCAAACTGATTTCCTATTCTCTTATCACTGTCTGTGAAACACACTGTACAGAGACGGTTCCATCTTCAACTTGGATAGAATAATAAAAGCACACATGGATGCAAAATCTCTAGCTTAGTTACACTTAATTAATAATAATTAAGTTTCTATAACATTTTTCACCCGAGCCTGCCAAAGTTTAGTTTACAGTTAAAAGGCAGCAATCCCACAGCAGTGATCAGTCCTCACTTTTACTGTTATGATTGGGATATTTGCTTCTTTGCTTTTTTAAGTAGCAAATAACCTACTCAAAGTCAGCTATATGATGTCAGATATTTTCCTTTTTTTCCTTTTTTGTACTCAGATACTGACAGATGCAGGTAAAGATAAATTCATCATATTAGCAGACAGTAGCTTCAGTAGACCATAAGTTGCATACTGAGAAAAGCTGCATGGTGCAAAGCTTTCTGTAAAATCACTATGTAATGTTGAACTACTTGAACAAGTTATGGAAAAGAAAAAAAAAAGTTATACACTACTTACCACAACAAATTAATAATACAGAATATAAGTTTGGCACACCATTAAAGAGCACGGATAGAAGCTGGGATACGTGCATGCAAACATATTGAATTTTTCCTAACTGCTCATCTAAAAACTTTGCTAAGAAATAAATATGACTGGTGGATTTCTGTAAATGTTGTGGCACATCAGTGAAAAAGTGTCTTGTGGCGTGCTTGGCTGTGATGACAGAAAGCAGTGGACGATGCTTTATAGAGAATAAGGCCTGGAGTCAGAGGACAGCAGCGATAGCAAACCCAGATACAAGACAAATGACCATGAAATAGACTCTCAACTGATACTGTCTGCTTGCTCTTTGTGTGTGTTTGTGTCTGAGTCCAGACAGTGTGTGTCAAGGCAGTGTCATGATCACAGATTGCGGCCTCATCACTGCTCTGCTGAGGAGATTTAGCTGGCACTGGTTACACTGACCATGGCGTGTGTGTGTGTGTGTGTGTGTGTGTGTGTGTGTGTGTGTGTGTGTGTGTGTGTGTGTGTGTGTGTGTGTGTGTGTGTGTGTGTGTGTGTGTGTGTGTGTGTGTGTGTGTGTGTGTGTGTGTGTGGGGTAGTGTGTTTGTGTATGTGTATGGATGTATGAGTGTTTATAGCAACCCTGTCAGATCAGCCATGACTTTGCCCACTGCGTGTGTGTCAACCAGGGGTGACCTTTTTCTGCGTGTGTCCCTGGGAATGTGTGTGTGTGTGTGTGTGTGTGTGTGTGTGCCTGTGCTGCAGGCAGGGAAAGTCCCTGTCTTCGCTGTGCCAGAGAGCTGGAGGGGACACCCCGTTCATCTGTGTTTGGGTGAGTTTGTTTCGTTGTGGGAGTTCCCCGTCAGAGCGAGAGGCTGGTCTTCCACATCAGTTTCATCAGATTTTTAAGCGCCAAGCGCTAAGCGCCCAATGGTGTCATCAGTTGATAGATCACAAGGCCCAATCCTTATACCCTTATGACTTTCTTTACCATTAGCCATTCTTCAGTTGAATTTCTAATTACCATATTGTATTTGTGGATGACAGTAGGATTTTAAAAAAATAGATGCTGTGAGCAAATAATACCAGTAGCAGTTAGTTAAGTTATTGAACAGAAAATACATATGTAATATTTGAAGTTTTTGTCATCTCTCAGGTCCAGTCAGTTTTATTTATATTACTCAAAATCACAAATTTGCCTCAAAAAGCTTTAAAATGTACAGCATATGACATGTTCCATCCTTAGACCCTTGGTGTCTAAAATCAGTGGGAAAAAAATGTTTGTTGTGGCTACCTAATACAAAGAACAAAGATGGAAGAGACTGAAGTCGTTGTTAGCCATCTCCATATATGTGATCCCAGCTTGAAATCTTAGAAGAGATCCCAATAACATAACATACAGATTTTAAAATATACAATGTCAGAGGCAGTCATTGTGTTCATGATCATAAGGATACTTAACTTAAATTTGAACTTTGCATTAGAATATAAATAGTAAACTGCACCTTATACTTGCATTAGAAGGATTACGGGATCAGCACAGTCAACACACCATCAACAATTATTGCCTACATTCTTGCTTGTACATACTTAGTCGTGCACATGTCCGTGCAAGAGTTGCTCTCTGACACTGGACAAATAAAGCAAGCAGACGGGAAGGCCACTGTAGAAGGAAAAAAGCAGAAGTCCTTCAAATTAAATGACAAAATGCATTGTTTGTCCTCATGTTTGTCCTCATGTTTGTCCTCAGCATTTTCTAAACTGACTCCCCTATCACAAGGAAAACATCTTTTGCCTGTGCTTTCCAAAACCATTACACATCACTAAATCCATTTTACAATGTGATGAGGCTTTGGTTAGGTTTAGGAACAAAAATTAGTTGCAGTTAAGGAAACAAACAGCAGCGTTGAGGTCCGATGTTGCTTTATAATTATTAATATATATATTAATAACGCCACCTGACTTCCTCCTTCATAATTACTCCGGCTGCTGGAAGGCTTTGTCTCTTGAATGTGAACATATATTGTTTTGCATCACTTGCTGAGATTACTGATGCTGAAAAGCAGGATAAGCATGTCATGGCTCTTTGTTAAAACTTTTACAGTGTCTGTAGGTTGCTGCTATACGTTGGTTATCTAATTGCCGGTTTGTTTTTGAAAGAGGAAGTGATTGGGTTGGGGGTACCACAGACCAACGAGCCCATCATCCACCACAAGCTGTGCAGTGGGCAGAAATCTATACATTTGATGATGTTTTCAGCATGAGTCATCGGGATGTCTCCTTGAAGAAGAGCATAACTCCCTTATGTGGTAAAAGTTAATCCAGTTTCCTGTAAAGTTCTTTTCATCCATGCTCACTCTGGCAAAGCAATTCCCTTTTAGCCTTAAGTGAACAGAATGAGCGAAGCAAAAAGAGTATTAATAGAATTGTTACACCAAATAATAAGAAAGATTTTATTTGATAGATTCTATTGCATCTTAAGTCTTTGGCTGTGTTTTTCAGACTTGCAGCATTGAACTGAACACCTTACCCTTCTGTATGTCATAAAGGTTTTCTTAGTAGTCAGAGATCCTCCTTGAAAACCCACACAACCCATAGAGCATCTCCCTGCAATAAATATGCTATTCACCATACGTGGTTGTTAATTAGCTCAGTCCCATATCTCGCTGGGTATTTCTTATGCCCAACAGATCCCCTGTCCTCTCTCTCCCAGCACTGTCCAGAGCTGTACCAGAGCTAATTGGCAGCTCGTTTGCCTGCCGCGACGGTGATCATGCAAATGTATTGGTGCTTACCAATAGCCGGGCCCATCAAAACATTACGATGGCCATTACCCAGAGCTGGGGCTGGCCTAACGAACATATGCTCCCTCCCCCCCGACAACCTCCCCCCAATTCCTAAACTCTTATTTATGTGTTTAATTTAATGTGCGAGGGAAGAATTTCCGAAATTAAATTTGGTTTTCGTTGGTGCCTCCAGAGAGAGGCGGCGTTATAATAACATGGTAATTTTTTACACGTCTTTATGAGAAATGAGAAAATTAATTCTTTCTGACAAGCTGTAATTATTGGGCTTGGAACAGTTGCAGCTGAACAGTTTGGGCTGTGGTAGCCTGGCAGTGAGCTAAAAGAGGGAGAGAGGAAAAGAGAGAGAAAGGATGGGAGGGGGGTGGCTATGGAGGGAGTTTAGTTGTACAGCCAGAATCATATACACTGACAAAGGAGGGAGAAGAATGGGAGGTGAATGGTAATAATGATTGACAAGGGGAGAGGGGAGGACAAGAGGTGAGAGGTGACAAGGTTGTATTAGAGGAGGGGAGAGATGGGACGAGAAAGGTGGTAAGGGGGGAGAGAGAGAAGGAGAGGGGGTGGAGGAGGAGAAAGAGAGATGAGGAAAGTGCAAGGTTATGGAAGAAAAAGAGAAGAGAGGAGGACGAGAGGAGAAGACATAGGGAGATGAGTGGAAAGGTGAGGAGAATAGTGTTGGAAAGTGAGGAGTGGGAGGTGGATGGAGGGAAGGGAATTGGAAGGTGAGGAGTAAAAGACAGTAGGTGATAGGAAAGGAGAGAAGGTCCAGGGGTGGATGAGAGGAGAGAGGTGATGGAAGGCAAAGGAGAAAAGGGGGAGTATGGAGTACATTGTGCATGAGGAGACAAGGTTAGATTAGAGGAAAGGAAACGAGAGGAGAGGAGAGGAGACGGGTGTAATGAGGAGTCACGCCTCAGCGTGTTACATCAGGTAGGAGTCCCTGTCTTCTTGTCTGATGTCATCAGAGGAGGCTCCTCTCCAACACCAGCAGCTCCTCCTGTGTCAAGGTTACAATGCATTAATATTCACAGTCTACAGCCAGCCTGGCCTCGCTCCAGGCCTCCTTAGGCTTTCTCTCTCTCTCTCTCTCTCTCTCTCTCTCTTCTCTCTCTCTCTCTCTCTCTCACACACACACACACACACACACACACACACACACACACACACACACACACACACACATTGAAAGCAACAGCATCTGCTCACACTTACAGAGCTTCTTCCTCTTTGCTCCATCAAGCACAGGCATGCGTACACACACACACACACACACACACACACACACACACACACACAGAAGCTTCTGAGCTTTTTTTACACACACACACATACACACACACACACACGCTTCCTCTTTTTTGCCCCATCATGCACTGAATATGGAACGTGATATTGATATTATGTGGCCATATTTTCGTTTCTCCACAGTTATTCACTTAGGCTACCGTAAAAGCACTCTTACAGTTGTTGGGTGACTCATTTAACGACCCACTTCTGGTGTGTGTGTGTGTGTGTGTGTGTGTGTGTGTGTGTGTGTGTGTGTGTGTGTGTGTGTGTGTGTGTGTGTGTGTGTGTGTGTGTGTGTGTGTGTGTGTGTGTGTGTGTGTGTGCGCGGTGTGTGAATGTGTGTGCGTGCATCATCATACAGCCAAGTGGCCATTTGTTTTCACAGCCT